AAGGACTCTTCAGTTACTCAACATATTTGGCATGTCTTAGGCTTGAGTATAAACCATATTGAGGGGCACATGAGGCATGTGCAAAGTGTAGTCTTGTTTGCTTCTGGCTTCTGTGAGGATGTGTGTGTGTGTGTGTGTGTGTGTGTGTGTGTGTGTGTGTGAGACCTTCCTATAGGACTGTCTTGTGAAGAAAACTGAGAGGAGTTCAGGCTGCCTGACCTTTCTAAGCATAACAATAAACATGGTGATGTAAAAGATTGCTTGATTTCTCCTTGGCAGAACTAAACCAGACCCACAGACTGGGCATCTATGCCAGAGCCCATCTTTGTTCCTCGTGCAGAACAAGGGAAGTTAGTGCAGCTTTGTCCCCCTAGAGTTTGCAGAGCTGCCTGCTCTAGCAACACTGCGTATTTTGATCACGGAGGAGGCCATCCTGACTGTGATGGGATTAGCTTCCAGCTGAAACAGGAGGAAAATGATATTTACAAGCATCAAAGAGAGAGGGTGGAGGAATGGGTCACTTCTCTCACAATGCAATAATCTATGTAAAAACTGAGGCTGGAAAGAACTTGGCATGGCAATGACCATTCCATCACATTTTTTATTGAGTACATATTAAGGCCAGCACTGTGTCCAGTTCTTGAGTATAAAGATGAATAGGATAGATAGCCAAATGTAGAAATATATGGGCAGTGCAATGATGGAATGATTGTGGAATGAGTGTCTAATTGGAGAAGAATCCAGCATGGTGATTAAGAGTGGATTCTGGTGCTCAGCTGCCTGGGTCTACTGTGACACTATTTACTTCACACATATTTTTTTCTCAGTTTCCTCATCTGTAAAATAGAGAGAATAACTGCTGTGAGGACCAAGTGAGCTAATATACATAAAGCATTTAAATAGCGCTAAGGCCTCACTATGGCTGTTGTAACTCTGCACTAGTTCCCAGATCATAAGGAAAATGTGTAAGCTCCACCATGACTCCCCTTGGGCATAGGGGAAGAAGGATACTAGAGAAAAGGAAGTAACTTTCTAGCTGTCTTGAAAGGTGAGCTAGGCAGGCAGACAAAGACAGCAATGGCATTATGAGCAAATGAAACAGTGTGTGAAAAGGTCCTGAGGCACATAAGAACAAGACCTCCTAGAACTGTGAGCACCTTGTATTTGCTCGGATTGTAAGTTGCATGTGGTGACTTTTGGCGATGTGACTATAAAAGTAAACAGAGGCTGAATCCCAAAGGATCTAATGTGCCTTGCTGAAGAGTGTTTGTATTAATAGTAGGTAAGATATCTTTTGCAAGTGATTGAATACCTATCTAAAACGGGCTTGGTAAAAATGGCATTTAATGGCTACCGTAACTGAAAAGTTCAAAGGAAGATGGGTTATAGGCATGCCTAGTATTCCAATGGCAGCTCCTTTTATCTCTGACTCTACTTCATCTGTGGGTGGCTCTGTTTCAAATGGTATTATACTCTGTAATGGTAAGATGGCTCATAGAGGCTCACAGCCTCAAGTCCAATGGGAAAGAAGTCCCAGTAAAATCTCAGAGTCTCTGACTGAGTCACCAGGGCCAATTATTTTGGTGAGTGGAATACTATGTTCTGATCGATCAGGCCAGTGATTTAACATATGCAGGAGTCACTTCCGTTCAGAAGCTCAAAGACTTAGCATGTAAAGGATGGAGGTCCTTCAGAAGGAAATTAGGTACAAATGTCAGAAAAATGATATGGAATGGGTGCCAGATAGCAAAGCCTCCAAAAATTCAAGATCCCTTTCAAACTGCAGGAATTGGAGGGCTGTTATTGGCCTTTAAGCTGTGGATTGACATGACCATATTTGTATTTGTGGAGAATGGATTGGAGGTTTGTGGCTGGAGGCAAAGGGTCAGTTAGAAAGCTTTTTGCTAGTCTAGGGGGATGGAAAGATGCAATCATTCAGAAATGTACATGTAAGAGCTAGAACCATTAAGAATTTTACACTGAACAAAACGCAATGAGGAGGGGAAGAATGACATCTGGAATGTCCCTTAGGTTTGGCATTGGCGACAAGGTGGGTATGGATATTGTTTGCTGTAAATGGAGCTACAGAAGGCAAAAGAGAGGAAGGTATCAAACAACACGTTAGCCAATTTCTGAAATATTTTTATGTCCATGATCTTTTTTCACAGAGTGGCAGGGAAGAAGTATATTCGGAGTTTATAGGATCTTTTGTTTTTCACCACAAACAGCATCTTTCACAATGATACATGATCTCAGAATGCCTTGTAGCACACACAGGTCCAAAGAAACACACATGTCCCAAAAGTGTATTATACAGGCACACCCAAGCTCACTATACAGTTTTGTGTAGGTCTCACTTCTTGTTGTTGTTTTTGTTTGTTTTTTTTGCTTTTATTCTCACCTGATTCAGACTAATGCATTCTTTCTGTGTTTTATCCATCTATGCGAGTGACTCTAAATCCTTCTGGAACAAGATGTTATATAGTCAATAAGTCTCTCTAAATACATATTCATCACAAATCAGCCCTTACAAAGAATGATTGAAATCTAAAAAATCAGAATTTTTTAAACCGAAATCTGTCTTCTATTTTCTTTACACAAATACCCGTAAGTGCGGATACATTGATTGTATCTGTCATTTTTTTTTAATGTAATGAAAGACACCCATGTTTGCCTAAGGAGTTTATCCTTTTAAAACCAAAATACCCTTTCCCTTCCCACTTAAGCTTTGTGATCTCCATCACCATCCCACCAGATATTGCAAAATAAAGTTCATCTCTGGGCCTAGAACCAGCTGAAGAAACATGCATTTAAGAAAGCTACTCAGAAGAGGCTTTGTAATGAAAAGAACATTTAAAAGATAAGTAAACAACATCCACAAAAAATGACTGTGTTAATGGATCACAATCAGAAATAGTTCTTAATTACACAATAACCTTGTAGGTCATGACTGTCTGCAATAACTCCTCCATTTCCAGTTTTTTCAGCAAACCCCACTGTCTTCAAAGGGTCCATATTTTCATGTTCCCCAGATCAGGTTCTGCTGTTGGCTGTTTTTTTTACACTCTGTAGCCTGGCCTTCCAGGTTCAGCTGTTATCTAGAGGCAGGTGACTATCTCAAACCACCTTTGCTTTCTCTCTTTTGAATACTTTCATTGCCCTTAGCCTTCCAGACCTGTGTCCTGACTCAGATGGAGTCCAACAAACTCCATCTTCAAGAAGATGATGGGAGATAGGTCTGCAGATGAGAGAAGCGAGCATTGCTCTTAAGCACATCAGCTTCATCACCTCAAATGTCTTTTCTGATAAGGATAGCACCCAGCTCTGGGGCACACAGGGGCTGATAGTTCTTCATTAATGAAGTCTCCACTTGTCAGGCTGCATTCGAGGCTCTTCTGGGTCTCTGTTCTCACTTTCATGTTTTGTCCCTATTGTTACTGCTGTCCCCACTTTGGCTTTTCTATGTCCCACCTACCACTGAAGGCCCAGGGGGCAGAGGAGATTTCCCCAGCCCTCCTCTCTTACCCCTCAATTTGTGAATACACCTGCCGCCTTCAGTTTGTCTTCCAGATCATTGGTCTCTATGTCCAGTTTGGCACTTAGCATATTTTAGCCTGTTCGTTTCTAGAATTCTTGGTATTTTGTGTATATGCATGTGTGCCATTTCCTGTCTCATATCCTTAGACATGTGGTGGCAGTGGCTGTGACATATGTACCTTGGTGTTCCTCCACCTTCACAGAACCCAGTTTGGTGACTCACACATAAGAGGCATTACAGATGTTTATTAAGTGAATGAGCAAAGAGAGAAGGAATGGAAGAAAAATTAGAAGCCATCCAAACACCTGGGTGACTCAGTCAGTTAAGCATGGGACTCTTGATTTTGGCTCGGGTCATGATCTCACGGTTTGTGGGTTTGAATCCCTCGCTGGACTCTGTGTTGACAGTGTGGAACCTGTTTGGAACTTTCTCTCTCCCTCTCTCTCTCTGCCCCTTCCCCCCTCTCTCTTGCTCTCTCTCAAAAATAAATAAATAAACACTTAAAAAAAAGTCACCGAAAGGAAGAGAGTAAGGGAATCCTACGACCGTCAGTGGAAGTCACGAGGAATCATGTGAAATCATGTACCCCAGGGAAAGTGGAACTGCAGGAGCCATGATGCTTGGAAGGGACAGCTATCTGCTCAGACGTCTGGTCCCTCTCCTTCCTCCTACTCACTGTCATCACTTCACTATAAATCAGTGCACATATATTTCACTTTTATTTGGATTCAATACCTGGGAAATCCACGAGGAATAATGCTTACCGACAATATAAGGTAGTGCCCTCATTAGTGTGCAAGCTACGTAAGGAATAATAATTGTCTTGGAAACCATCAAGCTAAAAAATTTAGGAGAATGACCTCCTGGCTGATCTCAGTAACTTGTTTCTCTTCATTTCCATTACCCTGCCCACGTCCCCTCTGTCTCTGGGTTTTCCAACCCTTTCTGACTGCAAATACCAATGATGTTTTGAGGATGGGATGGGGTAAAGCACCTGCAGAATTCATTGTTTCCTTTGTGTCTCTCCCACCTCCTTAAACACACAAGACTTAGCATGGTTAGTATTTTTCCACATATGAAACCTTCTCTGGCCCCCGTCCCCAGGAAGAGTGGCTCCCATGTCCAGCTTGGAGTCAGTCTGTTGGTCAGGTGCTCACCTCTCTGAATTGTGACATCATGTTCCTCACACACCAGCCGGTATGAAGGCACAGATTTTGTCTTAACTCATTATCATATCTGACCTAGCACCTCACTGTCTGGCTCACACAGGCTTATTTAAGAGTTGTCAAATGAATTCATATATAAGCATGAAGGAATGCATAACAAAAAAAGGGAAGCTACCACTTTATTTTAGCTTACTTGCAATTACTCAGTATCTCTTACCTTTAGTTCTTGATTTTTGAGAACTGTTAAAGACTTTGTCTGGGGTGTGATGATTCTCTTAAATAACAAGCAAAAAATGTAATTTTATGAAGATTTAATGAGACAATATCATTGCCAGCTGATTTTATCACTCAGGGAGTTTAACAGAAAATTTGTTAACATTGTCTTTAATTTGTTTAAATATTTATGAACATTACTTTTCAAGAGGATTGTTATCTGGGGTTATTGTTTTATATAATTCATCTTGGTGTGGATTCAACCATTTAGTGGTTCATCTTGTTTTAATAGATTATGCTAGAATTCTCTGTAAATGCTTTGGAATCTGAGTGGGAGTTTCTTTGGATCTCATTGCTGCTTGCTCCACCTTCCAGGGCCCCAGATCAAGTCAAAGTGTCTGCCACAAGAATCTTGGAACATTCAGGATGGCAGTCCTGATCACAGCTCGTCATCTTCCGATATGGCATCTAGATAATCTGTGTCAACATACAGGAGAAATCCAGAGAACAAGCTGTCTGCCCAACCTGGGTCTGAGAAGAGGCCGTTTTGGTCGGTGAAGAAGATCTCCAGCCACACTTCATCTTCTGGCTGCAGATAGATGACCGTGGACCCCGAAGCCACGTCATGGTTCCCTGTGTTAGCGTCGAAGGTCTTTATCCGGTACTGCCCGTTGTGTACCAGCCCGATCGCCAGATGCTTATTTGCCAATGTGATATCATAAGAAAAGTAATAGATCCCTGGGAAGGCACAGATGAACTTGCCTGTTGCAGGATTGTAGTGTTCTCCCTCATTGAAGAGGACCTTGTTAAATATAATTGGTAGCCTTTCTTCTGGGTAGCTGGTTGTGATGCCAACAGAAAAGGCAGATTTGAGCACGATGCTTCCACATCTACAAACTCCAGGCAGCCCTGGATCCCCTTGCTCTCCTCTGTCCCCCTTTGCTCCAGGAGGCCCAATTGGACCTACTTCTCCTTTTTCTCCCTCTGGTCCAATGGGTCCTTTCTTCCCAGTCTCTCCTTGGTCCCCCTTCTCTCCAGCAAGGCCCAGTGGTCCGGTCTTACCTCTCAAACCTTTAAAAAGAGTTTACAGTTTAATTCATAGTTTCTCTAAATATACGGTCACAAATAGCATGTCCACATAGTGCCAGCACACCGTAAACTTGTCTCTCCAGTCAACTTTCAAAAGGACACTACTAAATACTAATGCGTATTTAAAAAAAAATTACTGACGCATTAAAATGGAAATAGAAAATTTTCATCAGAGTTTCAGGTAAATTTTCCTGAGTATATGAAAGATCATTTAAACGCTATTTTTGATGATGGATCATCTGCACCTAAATCAGTCACATACATTATTTGTCACTACAGGAGAAATTCAATAAGCATAATGATATTATTTTCCAGAGTGAGGTCATGGGAGCAGACAGAGCCGGATGAATCCTTAGAAGTTATTTAGTCTCATGTCCCATCCTACCTCTATTAGTATGATAATAAAATAATTAATCAAAATTAGATTAGCTCATATTTATTCAACATTTACTATGTACCAGGGAAAGCACTTTATTGACAGGCATTGTCTTCTTTAGGTCTTGCAACAACTTTATGAATTAGGTATTATTACTTCCATTGCAGATGGGGAGACTGAGCCACAGAGAAGTCAGTTTGCTCAAGGAAACAAAGCTAGTACGTAATGGACTTGTGATCTGAACTCATGCCTTCCTGACTCTGGAGCCTGAGCATCTCCCCAGGGCAGTGGCTAGAGTGTAAAGTGCACCTGGCACATAGTGAGGGTTCAATATGCTACAATAACGAAGAACAGTGATGGCCACCACTGGTGGCCAACATCAGCTGTTGTCGGCAGCAGCTCTTTTTTGGAGGAGAAAATTGAATCCCAGAGAAGTGAAGAAACTGGCTTCTGTATCAAGCTAGGACTGGAATCCAAGTCTTAGTGTAATGATGCTTCCCCTTCATCAAAGTGCCTCTTACCTTTGGGGCTGGAATCAAGAATCCTAAATTCTGTTTGGCTCTGCAGCTAAATGGTTGTATCATTTTAGGCAAGTCCCTTAATTTCTCTGGGTCTCCTTATATATAGAAAAGACATAATATCTGTGAAAGGATTTCAACAAATTCAAAATCACCACAGTGAAATATTTTCTGTTTGTCCAAATTTTTACATCTATAGATCAACCCAAGGCTAAATGCAGAGAAATTGTGATCATTGGTTGAAAGGGATAAATAACGTTTATTTAATTTTTAAACCATATATATAATAACAATGACTTAATAGCATAAAAATGTCATTTAATGTTTATGGCCAAATCCATTCCATAGATAGTGCTTGTGTAGTGATACACGCTCAAAAAATATCCAAATTATTTGTAGTTTATAAAGTACTTCTGTAGTCAGGGAAAATATATTATGGATATACTGTGTAGTTTCACTCTTAACTATGTATTTCCTCTCAGGAACTTTTATTAAGCTGAGTCTTTTTATCTTGATAGTGCTTTGGTATAATTTGTTTGAAGATTACATGTATACCGGTGTATGAGTTTAATTAATTTTCACTTTGGCAAATTAGAAATGAAATGTTCTGGATAATGAAAATTTTAGAAGTTTAAAACATCCAGTATTTTGTTTTAATAATTTTGGAAAGATGTTGTTTAACAATTTGTGATGCACCAAAGATTCTAATAATGAATGAAATGTCTTTTTTGGTGACTGGGATCAGTATTGTTACTGATCACGGAACTGTCCTAAAGCTCTAGATGGCTTTTGTTGTGAAGTTGAAATTCCCTTGGTCCCAGCCAGAATATACTCTGGTATTTATTTCTTGAAATAAGCCCATAATAGGGTGATCTTTCAATGTTTGCTTCTTTTTGGTAGAAATAAAATATGAATACTATAATACTGTTAAATTTACTTTTGAATCAAGGACCACAAATTCTAAATTGTTATTTTTATCTTCAATAGGAGCTTAACTTTTGCTGTCTTCATGAGTGAAGGTCATGAATGACCTTTGATGTACTAACAGAAAAACTTTTTTGGCATCAGCAACAATTTTGACTATTAAATTTCATTATGTACTCCAGTCCTCCTGTCTCTATGACTTTGGGCAAGTCACTTGTTGTCTGCGTTTCAAATGCGTCATGTGTAATATGAAGAATTGGATCTAAATCCCCTCCAAACCTAGTGAGAAAAGCAGTAAACAGTGGCTCAGCAGACCAGCAAACCTTAGTTCATCCATGGATTCATTAGGTGAATTTGAAGAAGGGGCTCCATCTCTCTGACTTGTTTCTCAGTCCTTGAAATGAAGGTGTTGGACTACGTTGCTTAAGGCCTCATCCTATTGAAAATTCTTTGAGACAAAACCACAAATACTAAGATGCAATTTTACAAGGCTGGCCATCTTTACAATCTCAGTGTTTGGATTTTCTATAGTTATTGAATTAGCTAATCAGAGATTAACTATAATAACTTGAAGTAATTCTTCCCATTTGCATGAAGGATTTTTACCTGTGCTAATGGCCCATTAATGAATCAGGGAAAGAAGGGATGAATCATTCCTCCTCTTCCTATTCAGTTAGACATATGTAGAAGGAGAATTATGGAGTACTGCTTAGTCCATGCTTAGGTGCTAACACTTGGAGAGAAAGGATTTCTTAGTTCTCCATGAAATGGGTTTACAAAGATTTCTTCTTCAGTGCTATTTTTTTCTTTCATCCATCCATCCATGCATGCATCTATGCCTTCATCCATCCATCCATCCCTGGGTTTATGTGTGCATGCATACATACATCTAAACCATGTAATATTGATTGATCATCTACTACATGCTAGGCACTATGCTAGGGACTAAGTGGGACATTGACATGAATGACACCTATTTCACCCTCAAGTTAGTTGTTACTACCGATTACACTGTGATCTGCAAATTTGGGTCATAGCTAAGTTCATGAATATCCAAAGCCATGTAATAAACTAGAGTGATTAGTTTCAAGAGGTGGTTCTAGTGTTATTAGAAGATATTTATATAGATGTGCATTCAGATTAAATTAAATGGTACTATTCTACTACAACAGTAATTACTATGGACCAGTGAAAGAGACAGATTTTTAATAGAAATTTTCTTTTCTTTTTCTTTAAAAATTTTTTAAATGTTTATTTATTCTGAGAGAGAGAGAGACAGAGTGTGAGCGGGGTAGGGGTAGAGAGAGACGGAGACACAGAATCCGAAACAGGTTCCAGGCTGTGAGCTGTCAGCACAGAGTTGGAAGTGGGGCTCGAACTCATGAACCGTGAGATCACGACCTGAGCCAAAGTCAGACATTTAACTGACTGAGCCATCCAGGTGCCCCATAATAGAAATTTTCTAATTAGTATAATAAGCTCTGTATTTGTAATTTAAGGTAGAGAAGTTGAACAAAAATATGCTTGATTCTGCTTGTGCTTGCTTGGGGTGGATGTGGTGGGGATGTTTATCAAGGACACATGAAGGAGAAGACATTTGTGGTGTCATTAAAGAGGAAAGAAGAATCAAAGACTATTAGCCATGTTGTGCCCAGTTCCAGATACATTAAAAGCTTATCCCCAAAGCCCCAGGGCTCTGTTACTATTGTTTGTAAATAAGGTGTGTTTTTCTTCATTGATCACAAAGGCATTCCTACCTTTCTTAGATGTTATAGGTCCTTATGTGTATATGTGTGTATATTGGATTTAAGTCATCTCAGGTTCAGAAAGTAATTTTATTTTTAAATCTCAATTTTTCCATTGTAACATTATTATTGCTGATTATAGTGTTTTATAATAGGCTTATGATAAACATTAACTATTAAATGTAAAATTTCTGATGTAGTAAGTTCTTAATAAATGGCGATGATGATGATGATGATGATGAATATTGCAATTATTATGTTTCTATAGTGGCCTCCCACCCTCAAATGTTTATCAAGGCAATGTCTGATTAATGTTTGTGTTTTCCTTGTTTAGAGCAGTAATGTTAACCAGGGGCAATTTTATACTACCCCCAAGGGATGGTTGGCAATGGCTGGAGACATTTTTGTTGTCACAGTTGGTGGCGGTGCCACTGGCAGCTAGTGGGATGCTGAACTGTCCTCAAAAGCACAAGATAGCCAACCCACAGTAAATAATTGTTTGGTCTAAAATAACATTAGGGTGGAGGTTGAAAAACACTGGTCTAGAATAATACTGGATAGCAATAGACACACAAGAAGCTTGTTGAAGAATAATGCATGGGTGTATCCATGAATATGGGGGTGTAGTTGGCCTCATATGGTTAAATTTGTAGCAATTATGAACATTCAATTTACCCTGAATGCATATCCACATACTTATATTTTTAAAGATTTTGTTTTTTAAGTAATCTTTACACCCAGTGTGGAGCTCAAATTCACAACCCTGAGATCAAGGTTCTCATGTTCTACCTATTGAGCCAGCCAGATGTCCCTCCGCATGTTTTTTTTTTTTTTAATTTATTTCTAGGAGAGAGAGAGAGCCAGCGTGAGCGGGAGGATCAGAGAGAGAGGGAGATACAGCCTCTGAAATAGGCTCCAGGCTCTGAGCTGGCAGCACAGAGCCCGACACGGGGCTCGAACCCACGAACCGCGAGATCATGACCTAAGCAAAAGTCGGACGCTTAACCGACTAAGCCACCCAGGCGCCCCCCTCCACATGTACTTTTAAATGACACTAGAACCACCTCATGAAACCAATCACTCATTTCCAGTTTATTACATAACTTTGGATATTCAGGAACTTATCTATGACTCATGTTTGGAGTTCACTGTGTGATATGTAGTAACAACTAACATTTACTGAGTGCTTACCACATGGCAGCTATCCTACTGAGTGTTTTCCATGTATTATTGGATTATTAATTGCCACAATCACCTTTACTACTCCCAATTTACAAATGAGGAAATAAGGCTCAAAGCAGTTATTTGTCCAAGGATACTAAATTAGTAATTGAAGGAGCCAAGGTCTAAGCATAAATCTGACTGAATTTTATATTTAGAAGTGTGTAAGCACTACATTATTGCTTCCAGACATAGTAAATAAACTAAAAGGGTTGGTCATATTCAACTACGGCCATGTTATTATTATAGGATTTCTAGGCTATTCATGATCATGACAAAGCAGTAAGTTGTAGCCATAGGTGTTACCATAGATAAGATGTAAGCTCCAAATTAAAGGTTCCTTATCTGATGTTGAACCTTTACCTAAAAGTTTTTAATCTAATATTGAACAATATTCATACATTTGGTAGCTACTGATTTTCCAAGTATTTTCTGCATGACAAATTCAGAAATGAATTATTATCCAGTAACTTGCATATGCATTATGCTACTGTTTCACATAACACCAGTAAATCAGGTGTGATGACTAGAGAGAGACGTGTTTCTTAGGCTGATAGACCTTTCTTTTCCTATCTTTTGTCCCAGTCTTTACACTCGGAAACTTGTTTTTAAAGATTGATGCCAAATCACTTCCTCTTTTAGAGTTAACACAGTTTCTCTAAGAGAATTTCAATTCGGTTTACTCTGAAGGATTGCAGAGTCTGGCAATCTTCCTGGGCCAGTTTATTTGTGGGAAAAAAGAAAAAATTACTGAAGAAGTAGGGGGCAATTGTGTTGCTGTAAAGAGCAATACGAATGTACTTTTTTAGCTGGGACCGGACAGGTGGGAAAGACATGAGCTACAAAAAGTGGGCTATACAGTGCTATTGTTATTTCATCTGTGAAAAATCAAACCTGGAAGTCCTTTATGCAACTTTGCTCAGGATATTTAGCACAGATCAGGATGGGATCTGTGCTTTTTGGCTCCTAATTCCTGCCTCTGCTTCGTCTGTCCATTTCCCTTCCTCGTCCATCTATCTGTCTATCCATCCATGCCTTTGCACACCCAGGCATTGCCTGCTAGCTAGTACAGCCTTGTGATCACGGGCATCAGTATTTGAGTCCAGCTCTGCCTGTCACTAGCAGTGAACTTTTGCCTTCAGTAACTATTCAACCATGTTATTGCTCTGGGTTCTCACCTGCAAAATGGGATAACCAAAAGAGTTGTCATTACAATAAAATAAGACGGAGGTAAAGAGTTTGCAGCGATATCTAAAGCATAGTAAGGGCTCAATACATTATTATAAATAAGGAAGGTGAAACAGAGAAGGGATTTCAGGAGCAATTCTCATTAGAAAAGGCAACAAAGAAAGGACAGAGTTTAAGACAGGGGTGGACGAGGGGTGTTTAATGGCACTTCATCGTTCATTACCTGCAGCCCCCTTTTCACCTTTCTCTCCTTTCCTGCCGTCTCTACCATCTCGTCCTGGAAGGCCGATCCGACCATGGGGCCCAGGGGAACCATTTGCTCCAGGGGGTCCTGGAGGTCCAGGTAAGCCAGGGATGCTACAGATATATCTTGGGGAGTAGTTCTCTCCTTTGAACTGATTACCCCGAGGCTGTCCACTGGCACAAATGGCAAAACTTGTAACATAGAGCAAGATAAACATCTTTGGCTCTGGAAAAGAAACACAGGGACATAAATCCACCCTCTCAGGTGGCAGTTTTGGCATAAATGAATATGAGGACGGGCATTTGCAACCATGCACTTCAGTGCTCACCTCTCCGTGCATGTATACAACTTCTGTTAACTCTCGTAATTCTATTGTAAACTACGAACACGTTCCTGATAGAGGATTCTCAGTGTCCCACACAGGGGTTGGTGGAGATGAAGGACTGATTTTTAAAATTTCAAAATAAAGCCACTTGTTGCATTTTTTTTTCCTGTAGGGTCAGTGGTGGACTTTGAAAAATGATGGTTTCTTCTTGCAGAAGTAATGCATTATTTTTAGAAAATTAGAAATTCAAACAAATAAGATAAACATCAACACTATTCTCGTCATTAGAGATAATTACTCTTTACATTTTGATACAGACATCCTTCCGGCCTTTCTTTCTATGCTGTGGAGAAAAATATTATGCGACTCTTCTATGTCTCCAACTTTTTTCACTTAACAATATATCATGAGCGTCTTCCCATGTCAAAAATAATTCATAACATTAAAAAATGTTGCATTTTATGCACTATTCTTTGTGTATGCGATTCTCCATTGCAGATATTTCCTTCCAGTTTTCTGCCAATATAAACGTTACGCTAGACATCCTTATATCTAGTCTTTGCATGCATCCATGAGAAGTTTCTTAAAATTTATGGGGTTTTTAAAGCAGGAGAAAAGAAGTGGCATTTTCAGGAAAACGAAGTTTTTCACTTGATAATCATGTGTAAAACCAATTAGTGCTAATTGGAGTACTGTGCGTGTCCTAAAGGGGAGGTCTCAAACTTTAATTTAAAATCTGCAGAATACAGTGCCCTAGTGAACGATTAAGCTGTTAGCATCAGGGCTCAATTAAAGAGCTGAGTGAAATTAAACCATGCATGGTGCCATGTGCACCTAGGGAAGCAGACAACAGGTCTCTTTAGCTATGGTCTAATAGGACTTGGTTTTTCCCTCCACAAACAGGATCCTGAGAATGACCGATCATTTATTAGCATGGCATTTGGCTTATAAACTGAAGGGCGGGCTGTATGGGCTGAGACACCTGAGTTTCTAGGCTAAATGGTCCCTAGGATTAGCAGCTTTCTGGATGGGAGAATGTTTGCACATGGCTTTAGGACAATGCAAATGAATAGTGTTCAGGTAGTTGGACCTGTGCTTTAATAAGAAATCTCAACAAGGCTTGATATATATGCTTTGGCATGTACTTGCCCAAAGGAAATAATCATAAAATGTGAAAAAAGTAATCAGATGGAGCTTCCTTGCTTTCTGATGGCCACATCAGAAAATTAACCAGGCACACTGTACCAGTTTTATGATACTCATGGGGAAATTGCAACATCTTGGAATTAGACCTAGAAATTTGCCAGAGCATAGGAATGACAAACTGAGAAAAACACAGTGTGCACATGTGATTCAAAATAAGTCTGATTCCTAGAAATCTTATTAGTGAGAAACTGAAGCCACTTACCCAGATATAGACCCTGTATCCATGACCCTAATCTCATGTCACCAGTATCTCTCCCCACTCATCTTCCCTCCCCCACATCCAGTAGAACATTTTTGCTGTGCACAGTTTGCTTATAATAGAACACAAACTCAACATTACTGATTCCATTGCTCAACCGGGATTAAGGCACTTTCTGAAAAGCCCAGTGGATCTGATAAAGATACCAGCCTTTTCAAAGGTGTCCCAGATTATAGAAAATGAAAGAACATTCTATCCATACCCGCCACAGTTAAAACAAAACTGCAATGATGAAACTGCTAGCTTTTTCTTGTAAAAAATGGATTAGAGGAAGCTTTGAGAAACAATTTGAAAGAAAAGAACATGCTCATAGGAGATACTCGTAAAAAGGTGTTTGAAGAGACATGGGATGGGATCCTGTAGCGGAGGCCAAGACTTGGTTCTAAGAGGGGCTTGAAATTACTTGGAGGGAAGGTGCTTTGGGCAGTGGCTTCTCAGACATTATGATGGAGAGGCTGAGAACACGAACATGCCAATAGTCAGGGATCAGTCTACAAAGAAGTTTGGGTTAAGGGTCCCGGTTATGGTGAATAAAAAAAACAGAAATTTTAAAGATGTGCTTGGAAGAAAGGATATAAATATTTCTGATAGCCAGGCAAAAAGGTGCTCGAAGTAGGTAAAAATTAATACAACTGAAACAGATGCATTCATTGAACAAATGCTTTGCCTTTCATTGACAAATGAATTAGAATATTGTCTGTATGGTAGTCTAAATGCTAGAAGTATCCCCAGTTATTTTTGAAAGGCTCTCAAAAGGATTGTTAATTTAACAATCCTCATCAGAATTGAGGAATAGTATGTTGTGGTGCTTGATGCATGATGACAGAATGGTGGTAACTGGCCACTGGAGTCTTGAGACTCAGTTTATTAGGATGCCAGTAGGATGTGGGTTATAATAGAAAACTACAGTGGCATCACCCTGCCCTGTTTTTTCATTTTACTTAAAAGCCAGAAGCTTCATGGTACATGGTTCAAGGCTCTACTGGATTGGGCACACCCTCCTTACTTCCCTAACTTCATCCTCCACTACTTTCTCTCCTCTCTAGCTCCAGTCACTCAGAGTTCCTTGGTGATTCCCAAAGACACCAGGAATGTTCTGCTTTAGGGTCTTCATGCTGTCTCTTCCCTCTGTCTAGAACTTTCTTCTCCAAGATGTCTACATGTCTCACTCACTCATCTCCCTCTCTGAGTCTTTGCTCAAATGCCAACCTCTTCCTAGAGCCAATTCTTATACTGTATTTAACATTGCAATCTGCCTTTTCATACTGCCCATCCCCCCTCATTATGCTCTGTTGTTTTCTACTCTTCTTTGTACTCACCACCTTCTAACACACTAGATTATTATTACCTTTATTATGCTCTAAAAATATGGTATATCTCCATCTGATGGAATGTAAGGGATAAGGGCATAGAGCAGGGATCTTCGTCTTAGTCATTGATTTCTACAACCATCTAGAACAGTGTCTGGCACAAAAAACTCAGGCTGTGGACAGAGGAGAAGGTTTTGGTTTTTGTTTTTTTGTTTTTTTTGACGGGGAGGTGTGTGTTTTGTGAAAAACAAAATGAAAAACAAGGGAGAATGGAATATGAGAATATTACAAGGGAAAGAGAAAAGAGAGAACTTAAACATTCATAGGGTCTGTGGGCCCCTTTCACAGTGTTTAAAAATACAAACAAAAGATGTGAGTTGTTTTAATTTTGCATTGTCTAAGTATTTAGAAATATTTTAAATTTTTACCCTTTTTTTTGGTAAAGATAGAACATGCACATTTATAAAATTTAAAAAAGGTATGCAATGAGAAGTAAATCTCTCTCCTTCTTCCCAATCTTCCAGACAATGCAGGCCCCCTCTCTAGAGGCAATCATTGTTGCTAGTTTCTTGTGTGTCTTTCTTACCCACTTTGGCAAAAAATATGCAACTTTCCGTACCTTGCTTTTTCAGCTAAGAGATTTTCTGTTATCAGTATATAGAGTTGCCTCATTCTTTTTTTTAGTGACTATAGAATATCCACCATACGATTGTGTTACATTTAACCAGTCTCCTACTGATGGGTATTTGAGATATTTTCATTCCTATATAAGCAATAGTACAATAAATCTGTGTGTATATGTGTGGACACAGTTTATGATATGAACAGCAAATAGCTTCTTCCAGTTTGCCTTTGTATTTTGTTAATGAATTTTAAAATAATTTTATTATAAAAACATTCTTGAAGTTTAATTTATTGTGTTTAAAAGGCCTACCTCACTCCAAGATACTAAAACAAAATTCTCCCACTTTCAGTTCTTTTGTTGTTTCATTTGTTCACATTTAATTTTGACCCAGTAGAATGTTTTCTGATAAAAAGTGTGAGGTAGGGATCCAACTGTGTTTTTTAAGCACCTTATATTGAAGAATCTATCCTTTGCCCACTGTCCCACTGGGTTGCAGTTGAATTTGGTTATTTTGGCTGGGACTGCACTATGTGGCTCATGGTTTTATAAACATTATAATATTTTTAACAGCTATATTGAGATTTAATTTACACACCATAAATTGGACCAATTTAAAGTATAGAACTCAATATACACTATAATCCACTTTTAGGTCATTTTCAAAACTACAAAAAGAAACTTCATACACATTTGTAGTCATGCCTCATACGAAGTATTTTGAAGAATTGCATTGAATATGCAAATTTATGTAGAATATGTGCTAAAATGTATTTTTTCCCACATCACGCTCCTTTGGAGTGAGAAAATCAAAGCTCTGGAAATATTGTTAATCCTGTACAGATCTGTCTTGGGAAGCTAATGTATCCTATTTTTCTGTAGGGATTATAAAGTAACAGGTTTCTAGTTTTTTAAACTTACTTTATGGTCTGTAGATTTCAGTCTTTATGTTAATACATATTTTGAATGTGTAAGGCAAGAATGTAGTATGTAGTGCTTTGTAAGATTTTTAGGGATAGAACCCTTTGTTCCTGCTAAACTCACCATGAAAATACTTGGAGAAATACTGAATAAATCATTGCAAAAATTGAACTTTTAGGAAATGTGTCCACAGATTTATATCTCTTTGTAAATAGCATGTGTTTATATATTAAAAAAATAAACCCATGTATATACAGTCAACTAATATTTGACAAGGAAGCCAAGAATACTTTCTAGGGAAAGAATCATCTCTTCAATAAATTGGTGTTGCGGTAGCTATATATTTACATGTAGAAGAATAAAATTGGATCCCTAACTTACACCACTCAAATAACTCAACTCAAAACGGATTAAAGCTTTAAATATAAGACCTGAAACTAAAACCTCTAGAAGAGAACCCAGGTAAAAAGATCCTTGACTGTGGTCTTGGCAGTAGCATTTCTGGATATGACACCAAAACACAAGCAACAAAAGCAAAATAAACAATTGTGGGACTACATCCAAGTAAAAAGCTTCTGCAGA